GCAGGAGGCGCGAGCAACGGGAGGGCTCGCGGGAGGCGCGAGCAGCGGGAGGGCTCGCGGGAGGCGCGAGCAGCGACAACGGCGAGCAGCAGTAGCGGGAGCAGGAGCGACGAGCAGCGAGATCGGGATCGAGAGCGGCAGCCGCAGCGGCGGCGGGTTAGGGTTGGGTAAGGGTTATATCGGTTTAGTTGGTTCGATTGAACCAACTAACAATCGAACCAGGACCGAATCAGACCTAAAATCCCGGTTCGGTCTTGGTTTACCCAGGCGCTCTCCCGAAGCGCCCAACGCCTGGGCTCGGGCGAGCGCCCAGGCGGCGCCTGTTTGAAGCGCACCGCCTGGGACATTAACGAGGCGCTCGGGCCTCGCCTCGCCTCGCCTGAGCGCCTAGGCGAGCGCCCGAGCGCCTTTTTCAATCACTGCTCACACCTACATGTACAGCTGCTTGACAGCATGTTTTGTCTTGGTTTTGGGTCATTTTGCTTGTAAAAATATAAGTTCGAACAAGTTGTAGCGTTACAAAACGATCGCTCACCGAATCGAGCAAAACAGCCCCAAAACAACTCAAAACAGCTCCGTTTTCGTGTGCCGCGGGTTGATTTCAGGAATCCGCCTTCGCTCACCAAAACGTCAGCCATCTTAGCCCCTTGGAACCCCCTGGGTGGCACAGGGCTGGATGGGGCTTCGGTATAGTACGTGGCGTTGAACACTCCTTTGCAAGTTCGCACGTTGCCTTGACGGGAACTTGTTGTCGCGCCCGGGACTCGGTGAGCAGCTGTTTGTGGGCTTACAGCCGTTCGTTCAACCTTCTAAAGCTCTTGTTTTCCCCCTCTCTCTCTTTTCTCTTATGAACGCAAGGTGCTCGCTGAATTGCTTGTAAAGCTTCCCCTTTTCGCGAGACTTCGGGACTTGTCCGTCGCTCGTTCTTTCGAACTAATCAACTTTCTCTTTTACAGGTCCTTCGGGACCTGCGAGAGGTTGCAAGTGGGCTGATCTTTGCGGAGCAATATCGCAAGGGTGAAGCGCGACTTAGGCAACACAAGCTAAGTTCGTGTCTTGGCCGCAAGGGTGCCTCACGCCTTAGGCAATTCCAGCTAAGGCCGTGACAACACGCAAGAAGCGCTTCGTCGCCTCCCCTGACCCGTTCGCGGTTGCGCTTGCCCTTTGCTCCAATGGCCTCCCGCACGACGACGACGACGATGTGGACGAGCTTTGGATAGTGCCCGACACTACACCACAAAGGGTCGCCGGAGCTCCTGCCGCTCCCCCATTTGCCGCATCAGTTTCGACACCTCCTCTTGTCGTGTCAGTTCCGACAGTGAGGGAAGCGGCAGGAGCTTCGACGACCCTTTGTGGACATTGCCCTCTATGGCGCGACGTCAGACACTAACCATAGCTTGTCCACGTCGTTGCCGTCGTGCAGGAGACCATTGGGGCAGAGGGCGAGTGCGACCGCGAACAAGTCGGGGGAGGTGTCGGAGCGCTTCCTACGCGTGGTGGAGAGTTTTGAGTGAGAGTGGACCAGGGGAGGGAGGGGGAGAAGGTGGTAGGTAGAGGCGTCCTTAGTTACGGTGGGGTGGGAGAGGGATTTGGGGATTCCGGGGCATTGCTCCCTGGATAATAGGATCGCGAAGGAATGGGGGGATGGGGAGCGACCACCACCATTTGCGTCGATGTAGTTTCCGAGCAGTAACTACATCAGCATTGACACAGATGCAAAGTGTCGTGAAGTGGACAATGATGAGGTAGGCTGCGCACTCCTAGTGGAGGCGGGTGGTGTCGCAATGAGAGCAGACCTTATTATCGTCGGAGGTAGCTAGGCAACTATGTCTGCATCAACGCCAACAGCACAACCATTCGCCACCACCGATGCCGTCCGCCACTGAACGTTAAAATTACCTCTTTGCCTTTTGTTTTTATATTTCCGTCGGTAAAACTGATGTCGTTAAGATAAATGGACCTAGATGTTTCACTTTCATAACTGCAGGGAGCCAATGCAACGTTTTAAAGTGTAGGAACTGAGATAATAATGATAGTTAATTACAGAGGGTAATATATAATTAGCCCAACACATCATGGACTCTTAAAAGTGTTCAGGCTCAAGAAAATATCAATGCCCTTGATCAAGATGTTTTTATCTTAATCAGGTTGATAGATGATGGTCTAAATAAATATGATAAGAAATTTTTAGTTCAGCTACTCTATTTGTCCACAACCTACATAATAGCCTGAATTTACATGTGGTAATATTTGCTATTGCTGTTCAACCTTGGCTAACACACATAGTGTATGTGCCTGCACTTATTTGGGCACATGGAGTTGGGGATACACACTTTCATCTTGATATTTAGATCGTCTATTTATAATAATTGTTTTCCATGTTCTCTGTGTCCAATCATTGGTAATTCGGTGACTGAGTTGCTATGTCGAGGGAGTAACAGCCGATAAAATGATAAATTAATTTAAGGTTAAGGTTATCCAGAAATAGTAATCTCTTTAAAAGTGCATATATATATCTTCCCACGGTAAAACATATGGATGCTAAACTTATGGAAGTACTCGAGCAAAGTTCATCTTCTAATGTGAATCAAATGAGTCTATTTGAGGATCTGATCCGAAGATTAATGATCATGACTTCCAGTAGTTGCAACATGTAATATAGTGATCAGTTGTGCTTGCTAGTAGCTATTATACAGAGGAAGATGTTCCTTTAAGCAATAATCATATTACACTTTGTAGCTAGTATTTGGATCTTTATTGAACATGTGCATGTTTTTGGTAACAAAAGCTTGTCAATATTGCAACTCATTTCATGGCTACGCAGAGCAATGCCTTTATTTATACAAAAATTGTTTAGCTTTCTTCTGATTCCATGAATTTTATACTGTGTTGGTGCTTTAAGTATAAAAATCTCAGTTATAATTGCTGTCATTTATCTTTTCAGCTTGGTGCATGTACATCTGTAGCAATTAAACTGAAAAGTGGAAAGCAGATCTCTCCTATTGTCTTTTATGGTTCCCCACATGGTGCTCCAATTAAAAGACCATCACGATTGTTGCGATTGTTGCATGAAATTCGTATTGATCTTAAGGAAGATAATGATTTGATAGTAAGGTACCCAATTGTGGTAACAATATTCAGATGTTAAGCTTTTGATTGTAAGAAATGTTATTCTTTGTCTGATTTTAGGCTATTTTTATGGATATAGGGAAGAATTATGGACTACTTTTCCAAGGCAAGAGGAAGCAATCAGATTCTTAAAAGCACATGCACAAGCTAAACTTTTTAGTTATCAAGATCACTTGAGTGGTCAGAGAAGGTTCCTTGTCTCTACATACAGTGAGTTCTGGAGAAGGTCACATGTTATTCCAACTGTTCTTTATGCTAATGGTTTCCTTGTTTCTTTTTCAGTAAATGAATAGAAGTGATTGTGAGTTCTTTGTTTCTTTATACAACCATTCTGCAAAATGGTTTTGGTTGACAAATACAAATGTAAGAAAAGAAAGAGTCATTAGTAAAAGGATCTCAAAAAGGAACAGATCAGGATATTTTATAGAACAATAACATAACAGTTTGATAGGTAGAGTACTCAGGTTATTTTGTTTCCTTCACAATTGACAATATCTGATTCAGTTTCTGTTGAATGCTGAAAGTTGCCTTTTCTGTTGCAGGTATAGATGTATGGACCCAAAGTTACGCCATCACTATGAAGTCATTAAAGAGGTGATAGTTAATCTTACAGTTTTTGATGAGAAGAATAAAACTGACATGCATGATACAAGTCCTTTTTATTTTTATAGTTAGAGTGACCTACCTTAAGTCACTTTTTTACACTGAATGAGCTGGTGTCCTGCTAGAAACCACTGCTAACTGAGATGTAAAAACAAAAAGAGACTAATATAAAATGATGCTTGGTTGATAGTTTTTTTTGTTCCAGTTAGAATTCTATTGAAATAGTTGATCAAACAGATATTCAACAAGTAAAAGAAAGATCAGTTCTTTCTGATGCTTTCTTTTTTCAAATGGAATTAACATATCAGTTCTATTCCCATATGCCTTTTGGCCACAGAGAAGTTCCTGACAAAGTCCAACATGAATTAATGTATCATACTGATGTACGTGGGTCACTTATACTGTTTCAAATTTGATGATATTCTGTTCTGTTCTTCTTTCAACACCTGGAGTCACAGGATTAGTAGCAGGTCTGCTGAAAAATAAATGGTAATCATATGATTCATGTTCTTGCATTGTATGTTTATATAAGACATTGTCTGTAGCAACCCTGAACATCTTTGAGTTGCATTTGCATTTCTAGAGGATCATCTTCTTGAAACTAATAATTTTGAGAGCTGATCCATGTTTCAAGGTGTTAGGACGTGAAAGATTCATGATTTTTCTGTTGCTTTATGGATCTTGGCTTTACTTGCTAGATTCACCTGTGATGCTTTATTCTTTTAACATTTGTAGTCAAGGAGAATTATTTTGTAATCACTTCTATTCTTTTATTACTGTTTAATTGCTGTTATCCTTTAATGCAAATTGAGGCACTTTGTGCTATGTAAGCACAACTGAAGTATGTGGTGCTTCATGCTTGTTTAGAAGTACAGTCCATATTTGATGTGTGTACCACAATTTGCTTTCTAATCATACACAAATGGGAAAGAGGCCTTTTAATTACCATCAAGATGTGTAAAATTAAATAAGAATTTATCTTTTATAGTGGATGTATAATGTATTATATATTAAGTGTACTCCATTGCAAGTATCTACTGTAATACTCATTGTTGATGACACAAATTTGCATCTCACACCAGTGGGAAATGTATTGCATCATCTTACGGACCTGTTCTCTTGGCATGGCTGATAGTAAATTATAACAAGGAGAAACTGACATGGTAGTTTCAAAGAGAATTGCATGACTATATCTGTAGTGCAATTAGGCCTTTTTTATCAGGGAACAAATTGATGGATGTAGGGTACACATTTGTCTTGATGGGGATTTCTGGGTTTGAGTGCAAGTAGAGTTTGGGATTTTCGTGCTCAGAAAGCGAGCAGATTGCATGTGTTTTTGCTAATGTCATGAAGCACCTTATGAACAGGGCGCATGACTCAGACAGGTGGTGTCCACCCACTTGGTGAGTCACCAACCATCTGGATTTGAATAAGTGAGTCACACCTTATTTACATGTGTAGAGCTATCTAGCAATAGCCAGTCTGCCTGCCACATCTCTTTCTGATTTGAATAGGTGAGTCACACCCTATTTACCTGTGTAAGAGCTATCTAGCAATAGCCAGCCTGCCTGCCACATCTCTTTCTATTTTGATTGTTATTGATACTTGTTTCTTTTGCTGCAATTGCATCATCTTGTTTAAACATTTGATAAATTATTAAATAAGATGATTTGGAATTAACATTATGTTTCGCAATTTTATTTGACAGGGTTTGCCTTGCCACTTATATTTTGATCTGGAATTTGATAAGACAGTCAATGCTGACAAAAATGTAGATGACATGGTTGACATCTTGATGTCTGTGACTTTCGACATCTTATTTGACAAGTATGCAATTGAAGCAAATGATGGGTGGATTATAGAGCTTGATTCATCTACCACAAGTATGCTCTTTGGGTCAATCTCCTACATTATGACAGTAATTTATTTTCTGGGTCCTATTTTGTCCTATGTGTTTGCAAGCATCATTGTTTTTATTGAGGTAGCAATTTTCACCTGTTGCTTCATTTTTCTGAACGCTTTTACCCATTAGCAACCAACTAGTTAAACTAAAGTTCTGGCATTACATAAAGTATACAATTGCACATTGATTTGTCTTTGTTTTATGCATTCAGTGGTTGTTTTTTCTTTAAATATTGTTTTTAATGCATTACTTCTATGGTTGATTGTGATATCATTTAAGTGGAGCTCTTGAATTGTCATATAAGAATTTCGTAGATCAAGTTTATCAGTGGCTAATATAGTACTTACAATGATAGAAGTTTTACTAAAGTAGTGATACGAATTTAGTGTACTTGACTTTCCATTTATTCAACATAACACCAACTCCAATTGTTTTTTACTTTCTGCGCATTTTTTGATTCTAGGTTTTTCTGACCAAAAAGATGGAGCTTAGAACTACTTGCAATTCTTGGTAGAAATTTTACTTTAAATTGGTTGTTTTAGGTGCACTTAGAATCATCTTAACTTAAGCTATTTAAGTTGGCTTAACTGATTCGTTTAGCTTTATTAAATCTGACATCCTCTTATAAGACATCATAAACTTCCCCAATGTTTTTAACCATTTAATTTCTAATCTTCCTCTTCATCTTGTAACACCTGAACAAACTCCTCTCTGTACTTGTGCACAAAATGTTCCTTTGATTGTTTCCAGACCATTGTAAACTGATCTGTTGCTGTTCTGCCTCTTTTTTATCCTTAACTAATTGTGGTGGCTACTTTTACTTTGTTATTAACATACACGTTCTTATTCTTTTCTTTTTCTTGTGGGCTCCTATCTCATAATCTTCATTTGTGTAACACTGACATAGCTTAATGTTTGAGTTAATTGCCTCTTTGCTGTTTGTTGCTGTAGTCTTTGAATCATGTTCTAATAGAAAATTCCATAATCTGTAAGTAGTGTCAAGTTTCATCCTTACTCTATCATGAAATCGAAGTCTTTGCTTGCTTGTTTTCTAAATCATTTGTTTGGGTGCTGCTTACTATGCTCGTAACCAAGTTTGTTTTTAATGCACTTGAAAAATGGCTGCTACAGAATGATATTTTCTTTCATATTCAAAGATTATGCCCCCTATGGAAAAATACACATGAAAAGTAATGATGTTTGCTTTCTCTCTTTGACTGTGAAGAATGATTGTTTGAGCATAATGAAACAATGGAGCTAACTTAACATGATGCAGGGTACATGTTGATGTACAGCACATTATGCACTATTAATCACTACTAGAATTTACAGAAACCCATGTAAATTAACATATAGTGTTAAGGTGTTGAAGGAGCATTAAAGTTCTCCTTGTCCCTTTATGTTACTTGATGCACATGCTATTTTTGGGCTTATTATATGATTATAATAAATAATGATAACCCTTGCAGAAGTCTTGTGCTGACTGATAGTATTAGTCGCTGGGCAGACCGGTATGTATTGGTCAATACTGGTTTGATGTGTGTCGATGCACTGATATGTACAAGTGTTATGAAATAAGGGCCGAAAATAGACCAAAATAAAAACCCTCTTTTAGGATTTTTTTCCCCCATTTTCTCCATATATTAATTATATTAGGATAAGAATAAAGTGTATCTAAGCCATAAATGAATAGAAATTCTTGGTTATAAGGATGAAAAATTATCTGTTTTCTCAGATAACCTAGAAATTCTATGTTATCTAAGGTATAAGGATGAAATTCTTGGTTATATGGATGGAATTCCATTTTATCTAAGTTATTATGAATAGAATCCCTTAACCATACTTAATCTTGGTCATTATTATGTGAAATGATAAATAAAACATTCAAAAATCCAAATACCCTCCTCCATTGGAGACAACTTCCATCAAAGCTTGAGTTCCAATCTCTTTTTTATCCAAATCATGAGCATGATTTCTACTAATCGCCCATTATGAAGATTAAACAAGGGAGAGTATGAGAAAGAGTAAGAATGAGAGTGAGTGAAAGAAGGGAAGAGAGAAAGATTTAAAGGGCCAAAACAGGGTCCAATGATCAAATTGATCATTGGGAGCTTATTTGATCAGAATGTTGATCAGTACAATCAGAATTCGTACAATCAAAATCTGTCTATTACCAACCCGTAGGGGTCGGTAATGGTTGAGTTTCGCCCATAACGGGTGATACAAGAGGCATATCGTTCGGTACTCCCACTTACAAGCTAGTTTGTATACCGATCAATTGGTGGTGAACTGGCACATACCACCTGTTTTGAATCATTTCAGGTGGTATGCTAAATCATGATTTGAATGATTATTCAGGTGCCTTTCTGGGGGGATCATTTCTTACTTTCACATTTGGACATGCATGAATTAAGGAAATTGATATGTGATTCATAGTGAATGAGTTTTTTTTGTTTGTAATGAAATACGATGTTCATAACTCATTACATTAAACTGCACTACATTGTTTCATAACTAATTTTTTGTTTTTCTAGAAAAGTTTTCACGCCATGTGATTATTCGCATACCAAAGGTTGCATTCAAGGACAACTCACATGTTGGTGCATTTGTTTCAGAGGTACTTGAAGATTGTTTACAGAAACTATAAGTTACTTCTTGGTTTTTCATCCTTTTCTAACATAGCATTCTTGTTAACATTGAAATCTCATGTTGTTTGCATCGGCAATTGATACTGGAGACCCAAGTACCATAATGCTAAAATTGAGGCTAATTACATATTACACCCTGTAGTTAGACCTCCTTAGCATCCCGATTCTTAGACTTCAAAAATTTACATTAGAATCCCTATAGTTATGAAAGTGAAACATCTAGCTCTATTTATCTTAATGTCGTCGGTTTTATCGACGGAAATACGAAAATAAAAGGCAAAAAGATAATTTTAATGTTCTAGTTAGTGGTGGCGGACGATGTCGGTGGTGGCGTATGATGGTGTCGCTGAGGGTTGTGGGTGGTTGTTGTGGGCGAGGAGTAGCGACGAGAGGTGAGGGTTGCTTTGCATCTGCATCGACAGTCCTTTCGTTGCTTGACAATTGCATCAACGCCGAGGCAGATGCAGAGCGACGAAAGGACCACTCGAGTAGTTGTTGTGGATGAGAAGAGCGGCGGCGAGAGATGAGAGCCGCTTTGTATTTGTGTCGATGCCAACGCAGTTGCTGAGCGATGATAGGGCCGCTCGACATCTGCATGGGTGGCCCATTCGTCGCTCGGCAACTGCGTCAACGTCGATGCAGATGCAGACTGGCGAAATGGTCGCTCGACATTTGCATCGGCTTTGACACAGATGTAGAGCGGCGAAAGGGCTGCTTGGTAACTGCGTCGGCATTGACGCAGATGTAGAGCTACCCTCACCTCTTGTCGTCTATCTCCTCATCCACAATAGCCACCTGATGGCCCCTGGTTGCGTTGTCGTCTGCCACCATCGATGCTGTTCACCACCACCGAAATGTTAAAATTATATTTTTGCCCTTTATTTTTATGTTTTTGTCGATAAAATCGACGACGTTACGGTAAATGGAGTTAGATGTTTCACTTTCATAACTATAGGGATTCTAGTATAAATTTTTTTAAGTTTAGGGACCGGGATGCTAAGGAGGTCTAACTATAAGGGGTAATATGTAATATTGTTGTGCTTTAGATTATATAATTTTTTTTAACAAAAATAAGCATGTTAAGGATAACATGGATTATTTTTATGTTGTGATTATAAATAAGTAAAATATATTTTTTCTTTTTTTGATGGAATATAAACAAGCAATACCATTTGGTACTTTCCTGCTCAGGTTTTTATTATCAGCTTTGAGTTCTTAAAGAAAAATCTCATTACTGGAGCACTTTGTTCTAATTGTTATGTAGGAAAGTATTAGCAGATCACCAAGGTTGTTTTATTTTCATGAATTTGAAAGAACACTATTTTTGTGTTCTTTTTTACTTTTGGAAAATTGGAGAATTGCTTTTGCCAAGGTGTGCCTAAATTGAATTACATGTCATATAAGGTCCCTGTTTTCTTAAGACCTTCAAAGTAAATCTGTTTGTAACTTATCAGAGTGGCCATTGATGACTGAACTAATCAACATGACTCAAACTTACCATGAAATTAGTAGATTTAGGCTGAAGTTCTATTGGTTCAGATTATGATTGGTGTTTCACTTTTATAATGTGTATGCAGAAGGATATTTTACGGTTATTGTATCACTTTTATAATAGCATACCTCATATGTTTGTACTACATATTTTTACTTTGTTTATGCAAAATCTAGGTAACCGTTGAGAAATCTTGTGCTGATTAGGTATGTTCTCGCATTACCAGTCAAAGAGGAAGTGATCCACAACTTGACAAACTGTATGTCAGGAAAGATTCTAGCTCTTCTGATTTTCAGCTTTTCCTTGATAGTGCTGTCTATTCTCGAAATCGTTGTTTCCGTCTAGTTTTCTCTTCAAAGGCTGGGAAAAATTCATTTCTTTTGCCAACCAGACGTTTCAAATGTAAGGATATGGTGAGTTTCCTGCTTGTTTAATGTTGAAGTTAACATTTTTGTTCTCTGGTTAAGCGAAATGCTGAATGTAATCTAAGCTCTCCTGCAACATCTTTATTGTCTTATTATTATGAGTTGTCTATGGAATTACCTTTTCCAGTTCCTTGTCCTTCTGATATGTTTTCACAAGAAAAGAATTGATTATTACATGAAAAATCACTAGAAGGACTTCAATTAATTTATTATAGATGCTCCTGCAACAACTGTGTCAATTATGGAAAGATACAGAAGGAAAAATGCCTTCTGGACAATATGAACATGCACTGCATTTGTGATGTATATCTACTCCTTATCATGCTTATCATTAAATGATTAAACTATTAAATGTCAAGACTATAACAATCTTTGGCTCTATCATGCATCAATGTTAATTTTTTCCAGTTTCATATCTTGATAGTAGCTGGTAGTGTGGGACTTGCTTGCACGAGATGTGACAGAACAAGGGATTGAGCCAGATATGTTAGATTGGAAAGTACTAATTGGAGGATGGCATTATGTCAAAACTTTTTAATTATATAGCCTAACTTTTCATATTATTGACTATTTATACTATATAGTAAAACGTAAAATGAGAATTTGAAACCATTAATATAGATTTTTTTTAACTAGTAAAATTTTTTGATGATATGATTATTACATCCATTTTCAATTTCATATATGTGCTATTTCATAATTTTTTGATGTGCACCTTCTATGTATCATATTTAATATTCTATATTAAATACTACATACAATCTTGTAGTATTCATTAATTATTACATACAATCTTGTAGTATACGTTCATTACTTGCTAAATGATTTATGTTAATTAACATGCTATTTTGCTAGATTATCTTGTATAAATTTATGTGCCATGTTTGGCAATGTTTATGAATTTGTAGATACAATTTTTTGTAGCATCTCAGGTTGCTATTGGTGATCCTGGATAGGATCAGACAAATCTTTAAATCATTTCTTGAATAGCCGCATGGAAAAATAGTCCTGGAGTTTGAAGAGTTCGATATTCTTACTTTAAGAACCACACTAATGACTTCTTCCTTGTTGCTTTTTTTTTAACTTTTGCGCTACATGCACGACAAGCAAATCATTGTTCAATTTCTCATTCTTGGATGGCACACACAATGCTTTATTTATTCTTCTTCGTGTGTGGTTGAGGTTGAAACTGTAATATCTTCCAAGTTTCATCGTACCATAGCGGACCGCTCGGTATGGGCGGTACGTAATAGGGGACTAGTATGGGCAGTACATTGGTATGCCCTCATGTCTCGTGTGTTGGTATGCTTGGTGCAGTTCGGTATGACTCAGTACATCGTATCGAAAACTGGTTAGTACACCGGTATGGACCGGTAAGGCAAATCATGATATCTTCAATTGGTAATGTTAATCATGATGTTGGTTTGTGTAATAAAATCATTGACATGTAACTCAACCATCTTGTACATTTGTCAAGAAGGTCTATAACTTAAGGTACCAAACTTATGGAATGAGTTACTGTAAAAGATTGTTGTCTAGGCAATGATTGTTGCATTCTCCAATGTCAAGATTCAGGAGAGTACAAATACCATATGCTGATAATTTCTTCATGCTTGTAAGTATATGACCTAGTTCTGCAAGACCTCTTCATGAATGACTAATTGGTTTATTGACCATTAACATGACACACTAACACAAGAGGTAGATGCTGAGTGTTTCTTTCTTCAATTGGTTTATTTAGTTTTGACCACCATACTATTACTGTGTTTTTTTAGTGTTCAAGTTGGAGGATAAGTGCCCTTGAATTGTTGGAATGATGTATAACCGGGTGATGAAGCACCCAGTACATCCCTTTTTGAATTTTCTTTTCTTGTTGATTCCTAAGTGTGCATGAGTGTCGCCAGAAAAAATCTTACTAAAAAAAGAATGTGGAAAGAGAAAGTCTCAGCCTCTACAAGCTTCTTTTCCCTACTGCATCATTGACTACAGTATGATGCACTATGATGACACTTAAGTGAGTTTTAGCTAGACTCACTAAAAGAAACATGATTGCTGCATTGGCTTACAGTCCTATCGTTGTCTTATGGATGCAAAAGGTATCAATAGTTTTAAAATCTCTAATTTGTAGGTTATTTACTCATGTTCTTTTCTTGATTCACTCACATTTGAACTTGCTACTCTAATAATTTTTTATTATTTATTCCAATTGTTGCAGACTGAACAGGAAGTGTTCATGGAATCACTTATTTGCAGAATGGACAGTGATTGCAATAAACTTCTAAAATGTCAAATTGATATAGATTGCAAGAAAACTTTGTACTTTGATTTTGAGGTAGTCTCTTGTTTGGGTACCATATTCTGTATTGATGTATCATTCTTGCTGAATTATTGGTCTGTATCAGAATTCATATTGGTTTTGTCATGTGAAGCATATGCTGGCAACAAATGCTTCAAATGGTCAGACATATTTGAGTAGGTAAAATAATTGTTAATGCTATAAATGTTTTGGTTGAATTGAAGGATTTAGGTACTTGCTACCAATATAAGTTGATTAAATTTTAGTATGTCGTGTAAACTACTTCCAATGCAGATAACAAATATGACATATTAAGGTTACACAATTGTAGGATTCTCTAAGTACATGTGCACTTCTTAGTTGATCATGAACAGTAAATTTCATGTAAATTCGATATATATGACAGTGGAAAGCACATCTGAGAAATGTGATAGACTTCTTTGCTCTGACTATTAAGTAACTAGTTACCTTTAGACTAGAGTTTTTGATTCTATGCTACTAACTTGAGAACAAATTTGTTATTTTCATTGTATATGATATAATAAACTTCTTTGCCAACTTGAAGCAGCGATTCACTTTTGCATGATCCTTGATTTTTACGCTAGTAACCGGAGAACGAATGTGTTACAGCCATTGTTGTAATAAATAACGACTAATTGCTCTCAAGAATTCCATGAATGCTTTGAATTCTCTAATCCTCTAATAATTATGTAATGAAATTCCAAGGTGGTCTGTAGCTGCAACTTGGCTCTCATAATTATATAATGAAATGAAAACATCTGATAGGTTTTTCCGATTATGATTTTGCAAGAACTTGTGCTACTTCTTAGTAGAGGGTTACAGTGCAACAGGCTGGTGCCAACATGATGCAATTCTTGATTATTTGGTGGTGCCAACTGCCAAGTTGATTGAGCATCTACTATGCTTTTATGGCATGAATAGTGATATGCTGAAGCCTTCTTGCTTATATTGTAAAAGTTAATGCAAACTATGTTTTTGTAGTAAAGATATATTGGCTTTTAAATTATTTTCCTAAACATATTCATTTATATGGATATCAAATATATGATTTTTTTTCGCTACCTTGACCACCTATCAACCTGTTTCATTTGTTACGTTGTCCACTTGGTGACTTGTTATTGCTAGTCACTTGGTATGATGTCCTCAGTGCCCTTGATATGTTGTTGAGGGTGACAGTAGTAGCATTTTAAAGATGTGGGTTGCTTGCTCATAGATTCACACCATCTTTCTCAAGAAATGTTAATTGGTACTCTTGTCTTGCAAAACCTTTTTTCATGAGTTACTGAAATAGTGGAATGCTGTATTGAAACCGGCATCTCTATCAGTCAATATTGAAATACTATTATTTTTATTTTAAGGACATTGTTCTTTACTCTTTATTCTTTTGTTCGTAAATCAGGTTCAACAACAAACTTCGGATGCTCTGCAGCACACTGCACTGAATGCTTATAGGAGTGATTTCCCAACCACTTACTCCTCTGGAAAATCACCATTTCCAGCTTTAGATGCTTTTGTGGAATTCATAGCATCTTCAGGAAATGTTTTAGGTAGTTCTTTCTTTCTGTGTTCTTGATTATATTTCTTGTAGATAACATTGAACATTGGTAGTACACCTGGAATTTTCACTTGTCTGTCTCACGACCACATGTTATGTACTATGCTTAACATTGAGCATTGGTATTACACCTCGATTTAGCAACTGTTCTGTCTCATTATCACATGTTATGTGCTATGCTGGTAGCTTTCCAGGGCCCATTCTGTATCAACTCGGGCAACACTATTCTTTCTAATTGATAAAGTCACCAGGCAAGGTGCCACTGCTTGCTTCTTTTATCTGCTTGTAACATAAATGCTGTTGAAATTTTTTCTATATGTTTACTGTTTACAAAACCTATATATACCAGCATTGTTCAGCATGGCTTGGTATGACGTGGCACAAATATCATGCTACCGACAAACTAACATGGATGCCATATGTGGTACTTAAATCCTAACTAAATTTTGTAGTCTGAAAATTATTTACCAATTTGAGTTTCTCGAGTAATGCATTTCATTTGGAGAGCAATGACTTGCAAGTGTTCATACTTGTAGCCATGGTTTGCCTTACCGGTATACTAACAGGCCATCGATACGATATGTGCCGATGTATCGACACATGGTATGATTGGGGTGTACCAACAGATCGGTATGTACTGCCCATACCGATCCCTTGTTGGGCAGGTATGTGCTGCCTTTGTCGGATGGTACGTTATGGTATGGTGAACCTTGCTTGTAACATTAAAGACATTTATGGTAAAAATGAGATTTATTTGATACGTCCATGTTCTTTGAATAAATGTGTGAATTTAATGCTTGCAATGCGATGCATTTGTATGTTCAAGATTCATAGATCAGGAGATGTTGGAAGTATCTTTGGTTCCTAAACATATTAGCAATCTTATAAGCACTGCACTGAGGCAACAGGGTCATTCCTTTGTACACCTCGAGTTTAGCGTATAACAAATTTTGGCACACTGTTTATATGAGTTTAGGATTGCAACTCATTTTCTACCTTGCATATTGATCTTTTTTCTGTGTGAAGAGTTCTTTGAAATTGGTATAAATAGTCTTTAAAATCTTTGAAAATTTTGACTTATTTTTTTCCTGTAGAATTAAACTGGTGCAGTGATTTTTTCATATGTTCAAATTTTTTGGGTTATGTTTTGCTTACTTGTAATTGATTTACTGTTAGTTAGTTATGGTAGCATAAGTTTGAGCATATTATTTACATTGACACTTGTTTTTGTCTGATTGCACTTTTTGATTTATTTTGAACTGGCTTATGTTGATCATTTGTGTGATTGTAGGTAAAATACGAAGTTGGTATTGGTTTTCAGCACATGGCTTAATTATTTACAGTATGTTGAGAAATAGATACTGTGAGCGGATTGGTAGAGAACACAAAAGCAATCATGGTAGTCTTTTGGACTCATATAGACTAATTTCTGTAGCGTTGCTTTACATTCATGTGAATGTATTTTTTTTAGTAGTCTTCCCAGGTAATGATACCACCAAAGCAGTACAAACCTTGAATTGCATCTTTGGGCTTCTAATCTATGAATATTTCATCTTTGATTTCTTGAACATACTGGTTACATTGGCACTCCCTATACCCTCATTAGTGGGAATCTTGTGCTCTAAGTACGTTTTCTTACTGATTTCCGTGCCTAAGGATGTCAGATACCTTGTGTTTCCCTAGGACAGCGAATTTTTAGCTCTAAAATTGTGGTAGAAGCATTAATGGATGCATTCTATAAAAAATGAATTTGTTTATGTGACACTTATTAGTGTTTGGTTTCTGATCATGCTTTCAAGTTGTATTGGACAAGTATATCTGAAATTGCTTTTACAAGAACTTAAGTTGGTAATAAAATGGTAATTCTTGTCATTTCACAAATTCAATAGGTACATGGATAGTTTAATTTTTCATCATCCTAGTTCACCTTTTTTTTGCACCTTTGATTTATTTGTCCATTTAAACTGTCATACCTTCTCTAAGATTACTTTTGTTTTTTGTTCATTAAAATACTCAAAGATCGTCCTGGAACCTTGTTTCATCGTTTCCAATTCCTATAAATGAATTTACTCCAATGCGCATGTAATATTATGACTTAACATCATTCCCTGTTTACTTACAAATTAGTTTAGAAATTCTGGACATAGTGTATCACATCATAAATTTACTTTGGTAGATACAAAATATTAGGAGCCAGGCTACAGTAGTATTACTGCACTCCACAATTATTACCATACAATTTCAAGCATTGAATCAACTTGGAAGAGGTCTTGATGCAGGATCATTTTGATTTATTTTTGTCTTGAATATTCTTTATTAGTTTAGGGTGTCTTTTGCAAGTTTTATAGTTTTCATATGCTAGTACCTTATATGAGCTTACATTCATTACCAATATTGTCCAAAGAGAAGAAAAACAGAAGCCAAATAGAAAAGAGAAGGTGATAAGATTCTATTAAGAAGGAAGTCTAGTAATAAAAAATCCTATCAACTACGAAGGTTATTTGCTAAAACAACCATAAAAATTCATTTTTCGAAGGAGGAAAGAAGAATGATTCATGTGCTTTCATATATGGGATGTAATTTCCTTAGTTGTATTTGTTTATTATTTTATTATTTTTGTTTTCTTTGTATAAATGGAGTCTATATAAAAGGGTTAGGAATTGTAACTTCTTGTATGATCAGAAGATAGTTGAATGACTCAATTTTTTCCTCACATGTGATTGAAGTGGGTCTATATTTTTTTTATGATGGTGTGATTCCATCTCATATATGACATTTATAGAGATTGAGGTTTTCATCTTGGAAGTTAATCATTGAGCTTGAGTGAGTCTTACTCTTATCCTTTTCTTTTATCATATCTAAATTTTTTACTTTTCTACTATAAAATATAAATTATTAAATTCTAGAAAAAAAATTATTTTCTTTGCCCGTCTATACTTTTATACTATGTCATCTTGGTATTAGAGGACATCATTAGATTTAGTAGCAGAGCAATCATCGTACGACTAATTATAGATTACCCCCTGTAGTTAGTCCTCTTTAGTATTTCGGTCTCTAGACTTAAAAAATTTACATTAGAATCCCTATAGTTATGAAAGTGAAACGTCTAGCTCCATTTATCGTAACACTATTGGTTTTATTGACGGAAGTACGAAAATGTTGGGCAAAAAGGTAATTTTAACATCTTTTTGTGAGTGATTGTAGGTAAAGGGAGAGGAGGAAGATGACGACAGAGAGCGGCGTCGCTCTGCATTGGCGTCGACGCAGATGCAGAACGACGATCTATTACGAGCCCGATGCATCCTTCTTTTGTTGGGCCTACGACGTGTCCGTTTATGGCGCCAACTTCCTCGTGGCTCGCCACATCTGCCAGGTCACTTGGGCCACTTGCTACTCCCTCGACGTTGGTTGTGGCATCTCCGGCACAGGTCCGTTGGGGGTTCGCCCCCTTTGCTGTAACACCCCTGATTAATCCTACATCGAAAGTAGGTAAGACTAAGATTAGCATACGAGGGTCTGATGAGTGTATTACTATCAACTTCACCTTAAGCATGTTGACTAGTGGTTTAATTTAAACAAAGTCGATAGACCAATTAGCTTATCAGGCTTGGGTCATGATATTGGTATCATAATCAACCTAGTATTTGAGCATGGTGAGAGGGCTCGAGTAAGAAAGGGCTACTCGTGGATGAAGTTAGAGGACTCGTCATGGCATAGAGCCACCACTAGGCTATGCCTCACATGCACTATGTTAGGGCTTGATCGATTAGTCTCACTACTGGCCTAAGTATTTTGGCCAGTAGTTTGGGCCAAACGAAATTGATAGGCCAGTTATCCTATTAACCCCAGGTCGTGACATTTGATATCAGAGTCGACCTAGTATTTGGGCATAGTGAGGGGGCTTCTCGAGTAGAAAAGGATTGATTACCTATGGATGGAGTCAGAGGACTCGTCACGACATAGAGCCACTATTGGGATACGCCTCACATACATCATGTTATGGTTTGATCTGGACTATGCTAGGCCTTGACGAGGACATCAAGCTCTTGAGTGGGGGAGATTATAATACCTCCGATTAATCCCATATCGAAAGTGGGCAAGACTAAGATTATCTTATAAGGGTCTGATCAGTATACTACTATCAATTTTCACTTGAGTTTTTTGACTAGTAGTTTAGGTCAAACGAAATTGATAGGCCAGTTATCCTATCAAGCCTGGGTTATGACATATGTGCTTCCTGCGATCCCGATCCTACTGCCTCCCCTTCGTACTTCATGGCCTCATCATCATCTAGCTCTTACCTCTCCACATCCGAGTCCACGGTGGTGCCATGGGCGAAGAAGCTCGCAGATCTTCGACGGATGGTCACGAAACAGTGGTGCGGGGTGGTTAAGGAGAGGTTGGAGTCCGTCCTGCTAGGTTGGAGCCAAAGGATGGGGTTGCGGAGTGGATGACAATGCATGGAAGTAGCGGCCCGCGTGGTTGGCCCGTATTAGGAAACGATTGCGGCCCTGCCACTATGGGTGGCCCTCGTTGTCGTGTTGTAGTTCGCCATCAAGCATTGGGAGTAGGATGCGACAGCGGAAATGGGCAATTGGACAACACTCCGACAACTCACTATCGTTGCATTGCGAATCGCCTGAGTCGCCAACGCAAATGCTGAGCGGTGCCGATGTAGAGCGTCAGCATTTGCGTCGTTCTCTTCTCTCCCTTTGCCTCAACTCTTGTCGTCGCTCTCCTTTATCCACAACAGCTATCTGTGGCCCCCATCGGCGTCATCATTCGCCACCATCGAAAATGTAATTGGGACATTGAAATTACTTTTTTGCCTATCGTTTTTGTGTTTTTGTCAGTAAAACTGACGGTGTTAGGGTAAATGGAGTTAGATGTTTCACTTTCATAACTATATGATTCTAATGTAAATTTTTTGTCTAGGGACTGGGATGTTAAAGTAGTATAACTATGGGGGGTAATATGTAATTAGCACATCATTGTATATTAAAGGTCCAACATTGCTATAACCTATAATGATAATGATTTTGTAATCACTAGCAGCTACATGGCTAATAGGGTTATTAACATAGTTAAAGAGTTAGTATACCTTGCAATCAAATCTAATTTTAAACATTAAGAGAACCTTCTTTTAGGAAGGATTATAGTGTTTAGTAGAATTCCATAAGGCCTTCATAGTTGGTCACGATAATTCTATATCTTAGAAAGTGCAATTTATAAGTTATCAGAAATATGGAATGTCACCTGATTTAAAGAAACTCAAGACTTTCTTACAAAAGGAATTTGTATTCTTCTGATTGACTTTTAAATGAGGCCCATATGTATATAACCTGCTACATCAACAATATGAAACACATCCTTACGAATGGTTCTAATGAGGCATAAATATGCCACAAATTTGGAAGCCGACATCTGTCTATAATTTTGCTGATTTTATCTTGTAAATATGATTTAAAATGTCATAACATGTTTCCAATTAAAGAATGGAACATTATTTCCAAGTGAACAGAGGATGGTTCTGCTATTGTTCAATGTCTTTCTGCAATATTGTTGGTTGTGGGATGGCGTAAAACAAAGGGATGCTCCTCCTATCCTTGTATGGGCCCCTTGGCTCTAAAATGTGATATTGGATTATTGTAAATTACAAGATCGGTAATATTGGATTACAAATTTGTTATATAGGAAGCAATAATATAAATAATGCAGGTATTATTGTAGATAAAGGTCATAAGGACAATATTGTAGAGGTGAAGAGATTTAGGGATAGATTATAGCATTAAAATTTGGTGGTTAGTATATGTAGTGTGACGAAAAGGTAGTCGATTCTAAATAGTTAAGTTATTATGGTTTGTTATCATTGCTCTTGTTGTTTGGTTATGTGCATGTGTGATAAGGTTTTTGAAGGCTTAAGATACCACTTAATGCAATTTTTTTAATTTTCTTTATGCACTAGTTGTGGATATTAGTTACTACAACTGTTGTTCTTTTCGGTTCAGTTATGTATATCGCTGATCTCCATAGAGCTATTTATTACCAGAAGTGTTACGACCCTGATTGTAAAGGTATGGTGCATTTCACATTATGGTGATTGTTCATTATATTTTAGAACTTGCATAGATCTATTAAACAGGTCACTTTACATTGCGGAATGAATTAATTATATCAGGTTACCGGTCTCCTTTGCGGCCATTACCACATGATGTGATCCCCAGTGATATTTTACTGTTCGATTCGACTCAGAGAATAAATTATAGGGAAGATTTGGACACCAATTTCGGTCTTGAACATGATGGAAGTCACATGGAACATTATTCATGTGATGGTGATGAGTTGGTTACTGATAGCTGCAACATGGAAAGCAGCTGGTGGCAGGAAGCCATGACATATGCAGATCGCATTGAGAATATGAAAAATGCACCCGAATTTAAAATATTGGTCAGTATATGTTATTTTCGGTTGCTTTTTTATATATCTGCATTTCCTTTTATAATATATGAACATGGCATCTAACAATTAAAGTCCTTATGATATATTAGTTCTTTTTCTGCATGAACTTGTTATGCAATGATGTAGAATTCTCTTAGCCAAGTGCAGTTGTTTTCTTGAACATTGAGGTAGGTAGTTACTAAAACTGATATGAATCTGTCGTGGTCAAAAGGATACGTTGATATCATTTATTTGGTCCTCAATTGCTTAAATGTGTATTTGTGAAGAAGCAGCGAGTGCACTTTCCTTGCCTCCATGTACTGTACTAATGAACTACAGTATAGACTTACCAAAAAAAAAATTGAACTACAGTATAGTATGCAACTACAGTATAGTATACTGATATCATCGTTACTGATAAGGAAACATGGGTTGATTAAAATTTCAAAGGTACATTTTCTTATCAGTATTTTGGGATATCATCGTTTCTGATTTCTTGCTATAATTTTTGTGATGTGAAGCACATGGATGCAACTCGTGGTCCTTATATTGTGTTCTTTTTTATTGTGTACTAAGCAGAACGAGGAAAATGTTGTAGATTGCAGTTGGTGGATGGATGTGGAAAAGCTGGCATCACAGGTTGAAGGACAGCTTGGGTGATCCATGGCTAATAGTTTGTTATCATGTTATGTACTATAGCTAATGGGCTAGCCTAAAAGTATTATGTGGGCACCTGATTGATTTCGCATCTTATCTTCCCATTCTGTATTTCTCCGAGCAGTTACGACACGGAGAGTCACCACTATAAGATCATGCTTAAACAAAAGGAAGTTGCAGTGCTTGTATGTTATGCACTTGGGATGAATAACTTGTCTATCCAAGTGATGGATATTGATCATGCTGAGCACGAAGGAATGCATATTGTTTATGTTATCCCGCTGCATGTAATTAGTTTTCTTAAAGAATTAGGTTAATTATCTTTTATAGATCCAAGCGTTTGTATATCCAAAGAAACAGTACGCACAAAAGATCTTATACCACAAAGATGTGCTATATATTTACAGAGCGCATCCGTTGTGTAATACTCGCGTTCCTTCGCTTCTCTCTGCGCCGTACGTACGTATTACGAGTGGGGAGAGATTTTGCTGCTGCTGCTGGTGTTGCCGTTACCGTGGTTATTACTACTACCATTGCAATTTGAAGGCACGGTTAGGGAGTATTGTGTTGTGGTGGTCTTGCGACGGCGAAGATACAACGCGAAGCGAAGAGGGCGGAAGGGAGATGGGATCACTTCTCGGCGACTGGCCGTCCTACGACCCCCACAACTTCAGCCAACTCCGCCCCGCCGATCCCTCGGCCCAACCCTCCGTATGTGTTTCTCTTTCCCAAACCCACGCCCCGCCCCGCCCCCCCTTCGATTCCTCGTCTCCACTCATACTGTCGCGTCGTTTCCCTCTGTGATCTTGTTTCTTTCTCCTTACCGAACCGCTTCGGAATTGCTGTTTCTGCCCCGATTTGTTGTTGGATCAGATCATCCAGTTGTTATCCCCAATTAGTGATCCTGTCTTCTCCGCTTTACTTTTATGTATCTCTATGGACCGGGTCATGTTTATTGATATAAGTATGCTCTCGATCCTCTCGGTTTTCTTATTCTGATTGGTTTTGTATATCCTAATGGTTTGGAGAGATTACTGCTAGGTTTAGATAATTGGGCATATAATTACTTGAATTGAGCGCACGCTTTGCTGCACATTCGACTCTGAATTAATTGATAATTGGTCCTAATGTCTCCCTTTTGGTGTTTTGTTTCAGAAACTTACGCCTGCAACTTATCATCCTACTCATAACAGGACTCTTCCACCACCAAACCAGGGTACTGATACTGCACTTGGTCTTACTTACAGTTCATACATTTTATGTTACGATCAATTTTCTAAATCCCTAATGGAGGATACGCAATTTTCTTCAGTTGCTTGCCTATCGATACAGTTTTTTAACACAAATATTGAGAACTCAAAGAATCAATCAATCTTCTATCGCTAGTAGAGGTTGTTGGAAATGATTGTTCAACATCATTTCTGACTGTGGACATGATTTTTCTTGATTTGAGTGCTTAATCACTCAAGAGTTTGAGAACATGCAAATATTCTAATGCCAACTTCTTTGCATCTCCTGACTCTTCTCTGGCTTCTCTTTTCACTGTTCTACCTTTTCTTTTTTTAATTCTGATACATATGTTTTTCTTCACTTGGAATTTGGTAATTACGATGAATTGAGATCTGTTATTTCTTTATGATGTAGGGTATCCAAAAATATTGTATTCAATCATAGCATTTGATAACCCTTATACTTCCTTATGTAGAACTCTTTTAAAATGGATTTATGATTTTAGGATTAGTTATACTATTTTTGAATGACCATAGTATAATATATTAATAAGTACCAAGAGGTTACAATGATAGCTTAATTTTTTTCATCAAGGGTTTTATGTTTTTTTATATGCTAATGTTTTTGACCAATTGGCTTAAGGGAGTGTTGTTTATGTAGACGATCACTAGCAACCAGCCATGAAGAAAGCATTCATGTTTTTTAGTTCTTGAAGGGAAGATGGAGAGGGAGGTTAAAGAGGGTACTTATTAGATCTACTAGGAAATTTTGGATTTTTTCCCTCTCTTAAAAAAATGCAGGTTTATAGTCCTCTGGAGCAGAGAATAGCCAAGATTTAGATGACACCTTCAATGGGATTGGAGTGAGCAAAGGAAAAAGTTTCAACCTCTAGGATAGTGTTGGTCAAGAATAGAATAGAAGGGACTATGAGACAGGGAAAAAGAGATGGTGGAAGATGGAAAGCCAACTAGTTATTTTTTTCCCCTCTCTTTATTCTTCTTGTGGGTTTACGGAATAGGGATGGTTACATTTAGACTTACAGTGTGTGGCAGAAACTGGTGATTAAGGTTTAGATTAGTTGTATAAATTCTATTTGATATGTATGGTACATCATGTATATACATTTAAAATTTCAAGTCAAGTTGCTTGTGCCACCTATGGGTCTGCCTAGAGATTTTGTTCTGTCGGGGTCTTATAACAGGTGCCAAACCAAACCTATAAGATAATCTTGTGAGCTTGGCCCAGCGTTCAGTTTAGGTTTGTATTGGTTTCGGGCTAGCTTTCCATAGTTTTGCCATAGCATTGGTAATAGTTGTTGTAATATCAATTGCCTGTGCCACCTGTATAATGTATAGTATTGTAGTACAGGCATTAGATGTGGGTCCCTGTTTGGTCCAAATATGATGATGAGGCACATGCATGGGTATCTGAAAGGATAAGGGCTCTTTGATTGTGGCATGAGCAATACACATATGACCATCACTTTTTATTAGTAACATAAGCACGATGCTAGCCACGACAATTTTTCTTTCAAACATCTCATGGGAATTATAGTGTTCTTTTACCCTCTTTTGATTTACTGGCAAGAACATGACCATGGTTACTGCCTGATGCTAGCCACGGGAATCCTTCCTTCGAACACCTCATGATAATCAGTGTTCTTTTACCCTCTTTTAATCTACTGACAAGAACGTGACCATTCTTACTGCACTATTTTGGGCATACATGTCATGCTTGGAGCCATGTATTAATTGAACTGGTGATTGTGCATCAGCACTTAGTTCAGCAGCGAGCTTTTAGTATTACTGTTGCAAGGTGTTGCCAGTTTGAGCCATGTGGTTGTGAAATGAGCAGAAGCACACTTTAAAGTCCAAAACTGTGAGTTCATATGATTCAATGTGCTTTTCCCATGCTGTTACCATAAGGTAATAGCTGATTAAGATTCCCCTTTAAAAACGATACCCAAATTTGATTATGGACTGGTATATTATCCATCCAGGATCAAATGCAAAATGATATGTTGTTGACTTCATATTATGCTCAAAGTATCTTCTTGTGGTATATCTGCTGTTTGTACCTATTGTCTTTTTAGTAGCTTTTTTATTTGAGAAAACATTAGTTATCTGATGTATCTTTTCTATTTCACTGCTTGTAGTGATATCAAATGAAGCCAGAAATATTCTTCTGAGGCATTTCTATCAGAAGTCAGAAGAGAAGGTGAAAGCTCAATATCTTACCTTTCTATTCTACAAATTTTGCTGCTGTTCCATGTTCTTAAACTCTCTCATGCCTTGTTCATGCAGTTTCGACCAAAAAGAGCTGCCTCGGATCACCTGACATCCGAACACAATTGCAAGCAACCCAGAGCTGCCTACGCTGATGGAGCGCATTAAGCTGAACATATTCTAGTTTCATGCTTAACTATCTCCTATCTCCTTTGTGAGCTCGGCATATAGCAGTCTCTTTCTCTCTCTCTCTCTCTCTCTCTCTTCAGATGCGTGTGTAGCTTGTGCCCACTGCATAATTTGCAGGCATGTATTGTATGTTGACTGTCGTTATAATATTCAGATAAGCAATTAAATTATATTTGCAGTAGTTTCTTGAACCTTGAATCATGCTGTTTAAGGTTGACTACATTTGTGTCGCTTATTCGTGCTGCAGCTTCTTTCGTCGACAGGGGCCGGCTCACGATCTTGATGGACCGGCTCGATTCCTTTACAATCGCATAAGAGCCCACACTGGTACGACGCGGTGCGTCCCTCTGCCCCTCGGTCCGGTCTTTTCCACTTCTTGCTTCGCAGGATGGCAAGCTCTCTTTTTGTTTGTTCTTGTACCATGGCCGATTTGCATATCAATCCCTCGGTCGTTTTCATTTTCACCCCTCTCAATTATTTATTTACCGTCGTAATTTATCATGTTATTAAACCTTAATGTTAAAATAATACAAGTATTTTAGATATTTTTCTCTTCCAAATCTAACTTTTAATATGGGTTTCATAGGGCACGTTACTGCTGGACCATATTAAAAGTTGTAGGGGCGAATATGCTATTATAAACTGTGATAGGGGTGTTTTTGCAAACATGTACACTTTCGCAATCGCCTCCTCCTCCCTTTGCGTGTAACCTTTACAGCTTTGCAGCGAGGCGTCCGCACCTAATTCGTGCCTTCGAATCCCTCTGCTTTCCCGTGAGGGATGGACTGAGCGCAACATCCAAGTCTCCGTTCATCCGATTCCCCCTTTAATTTATATCCTTGCGGCAAGGCGCTTCGACTGCATCTCACTTCGTCCTTGAGCTAGAAATCAACTGCTGCTGCTATTCTTCTTTTAAGATGGCGTTCCCTTACCTGGAAGCCGTGTTGGGTGAGTCCTACTGGTTCCGCGAGGGGTTTCGGGTTGGTCATTCGGGTTTTTCGTGATTTGTGTTTCTCCCCGATCTTGTACTTGCTGCTTTTGCACTAGTTTCCTTGGGTTTTGGTTTTCTGGGTTTCGCTTCGATTTTTTTTTCTTTTATTGTAATTATTTGTTCTTTTGTTGGTGACTCCGTTTGGTTTGTTTGGTCGATGTGAGTCTGTTGCGGGTTATCCATCATTTCATGGACGGCCTCGCTCCCGTCTGGTTTCTTTTTCCTCTTGTAGAGACGGTGCTTTTTGACCATCGGCTGCGGTGACAATATTGTCTATTGTGGTATTTATGCCGCTTTGTAATTTTAGGATTGAGTGGATGTAAAGGAAGTCATCGCCTTATTGGGCCAGGAAATTAGTCCTGTAATCGTTCTAACTTGTGTTATTAACGCGGTCTCTACGCATCCCCGTAATTAACTGCTCTAGCATCCCGATCTTTACATCCGATCTTTACATACGAAAGTGAAACATTTAGGTTACCCTAACAATGTCAGTTTTACCAACGAAAAAACAAAGGACAAAAAGATAATTTTATTGTTCTAGTCGATGGTGGTGGACAGCGGCGTCGCTAGCGTCGGCGTTGACGCCGATGCAGTTGCTTAGCGGTCTTTTCACCGCTCTACATATGCGTCGGAGCTCCATCGTCGTGGAATTAAAGTTCGTTGCCGAAGCCATCATGGAGATTCATTGCCTGTCGAAGCAGGACATGGAGATGCATGCCTCCCTTATCGATGCCGACGTTGTGCCCCTTCTTATTGCCTGTCTCCTTAACCACCACTACTCATCCACGGTCGAGGCCCAGGAGAACGTCGTCGTTGCCCTCCTCAACCTCTCCATTTTCGCTCGCATGGCGCTCATGTGCACCCCGGGCATCCTCGCCGCCCTTCGCTTCCTCTCCCTTGTCGTTGCCCAGCATGCCACCCCAACCTTTTGCAACCTCCTCTCCATCGAAGCGTATCACTCCATCATCGGGGCAAAGAAGCCCCTCATCATTGCCCTTGTAGACCTCCTCGACGTGTCGACTAGGTCCATTAAGGACGCGCTCAAGGTCCTCTTTGGCCTGGCCCTCTACCCTCTCAATCGCATTGCCCTCGTCAAGTTGGGTGTCGTGTCGCCCCTTTCTGCATTGGAGGTGAAGGACGGGCAGAGAGGGGTTGGTGGAGGATGCGACGACGGTGATTGACCAGGTGGCAGGATGCGACGAGAGCGTGGAGGCATTCCGGAGGGTGGACGATGTCAGCATCCTGGTGGATCTAGTGGTTGGGGGGAGTAGGAGGGTGATTGAAAATGCTGCGGCTGCATTGCTAAACTTGGTAAAGGGCGACAGAGATAAGGCAGTGGGGGACGCCAGGGAAGTGGATGGGGCGGAGGCGGTCGTGAGGACTTTGGCCTGCAGTGACAACGAGGTTAGCACGAGGGGGAAGAGCAAGGCGGAGGCGCTGTTCAGGGTTTTGGAGAGCAGGCGGGGGAGCCAGCTGTAGGGTCTTGATGATTCTGAGACCAGCACCGATGACTCGGTGCCACAAATGCTGCTCTGTGATGGAGTCGCAAAGCGCTTCGCCGCCGCTCTGCATCCACCACCACCACTGATGTTGTCCGCCACCATTGGAACGTTAAAATTATTTTTTTGCCCTTTATTTTTGTTTCTGTTGGTAAAACCGATGACGTTATGGTAAATGGACCTACATGTTTCATTTTCGTAACTATAGGGATTCCATTATAACTTTTTTAAGTGTAGAGATTGAGATGCTAAAAGTAACTAACTACATGAGGTAATTTGTGATTGGCCTTATTATTGCCTATTTCATTATTTAGATTGTTTGCCTGGGGTTGGTATACAACTAGCATTTCATCTTGAAATGCCTTTATTTTTCTTTTTTTTTGTCGGTAAAACAAAGGTGAATTCCCAAATTCATTCATTACTAACTAGTATACAAAAGGAAAATAAAATATTTAATAATTGCATGAAATAGTGACATAATAGAGGAAGTGGTCATGGAGTCCATTGACATGATTATCACACAGCTGTTAAAGAGAAAGTGAAGTGGTCATCTCTAAGATTATTTTTTCTGTGACAGAAAATTAATGATTTGCAAAAGATCCAGGAAGTGCAGATAGGTTCTTGGGAGGCAAATCAATCTATTATATCTCATGGTCGTTTAAAAATGAAAATTATAAATAAAATATATATAAAAAAACACAAATATAAATAAAATACAAATAGAGATAATTCTATATTTTTGTCTGGTCTAGTCAGAAGAATCCTGATTTTGGTCTTGTTTCAGTTTTGACCACAGAAATACTTGACAGTTGGTGTAGGTCATTCATTGTTTGAGTTTTTCTTAGATAATTGCAAAATCAGCTCATAAGGATTCAAAAGGCACGCAAAGTTTTACCAATTCTCTCTTTGGTTGTTATTTTGGGGGATTGATGGTATCACTTATTGCAGGCTTTATGATCTTCATGTACTTCTTCGAGACATACTTGGACATTCGGCAACATGCAGCTCTGAAGTTAACCAACTTGCCTAAGCCACTCGAAGGAGTAATTAGTCAAGAAAAATTTGAAAGAGCTCGAGCATATAGCATTGATAAAAGGTCCATTTTTCTAAGTTAACTTATTTTTTTAATAACTTACGGGCATTGTTCACTTTTCATGTATTTCAATATGTGGCATTTTTAATGCACAATTAAATTTATAGCTCAAACTCTTTTATTTTTTAAAAAAGGTTTTCAGTTATTAGCTAGAACTTCTTGTATCTTGGGATTATATTTTCTTTATCTTCTTGTTTCTTTTAGTGGTTTTCACTTCATCCATGAAGCTGTCACTATACTGATGGACACTGCAATTCTGTATTTTGGCATATTACCTTGGTTTTGGAAGGTAAAGTAGCAGCCTTGGTTTCTTATATATCTTGTTTGTGTCATCTGTGACTCATTTGCATAATCTTTCACTACAGGTATCTGGAAACTTAGTGGCCTACTTGGGCCTAGACGCAGAAAATGAAATAATGCACACACTGTCATTTCTGGCGGGTGTTATGATTTGGTCACAGGTATGGTGGAATATTAATTAAAACCGCATTCCAGCCATAATTTCAAGTAGTTATGTGACACTGTTCATGGGGTTTAACAAACTTGTATGCCAGACATATTGTAGGAACAATTAGCTTGTGTGGGCCATCACCAATGTCATCACAACCTGTGCTGGGATTTACTTTATCACCAACTAGGACTAGTGAAAATGTTTGCTGTGTTTAATTTTTAACTCAACTGTCTCCACCTTTGACATGATATTAAACTTACAGCTTCCTGCCTGTTTTCATTTACCATTATACTGATACTTGCTATTTGTAAGAGATAAAATTATGTGCATTTGAATTCACCTTTTATGGGCAAAAAAAATGAACTTTGATGTGCTGATCATCATGCAGATAACAGACTTGCCATTTTCTCTTTATTCTACATTTGTTATCGAGGCGCGCCATGGATTTAACAAAGTTTGTACACATTCAGTTGCCTCTTTTTTACATTTACTGGATGTGTATTGATTTTTTGTCTCCTTTAAAACTTAGATGCTAACATAAATAACTTAGTTTTATTCTTTTTCGATTTCCACAGCAAACAGTATGGCTCTTTTTCAGGGACATGTTTAAGGGAATTTGCCTCTCCATCTTACTTGGCCCCCCAATTGTGGCTGCAATTATTTTCATAGTTCAGGTGGCTATGCTACTTGACACTAATTTCATTTGTTAGTTTCTTCATGCTTGCTTCTATTAGACTGAATTACATTCCTTCCGCATTGCTGCAGAAAGGAGGTCCATACCTGGCTATATATCTTTGGGCTTTTATGTTCGCTCTCTCCCTCGTGATGATGACACTTTATCCTATTCTAATAGCTCCTCTGTTCAATAAGTTCACTCCTGTGAGTATTTTACTGTAAAATCAGCAGCTGTTTGACTATATACTGATTAACTCTTATCTAATTTAATTTGCTAAATCTTATGAAAGGTTTAAAAAGCTAAAAAATGACCTAACATGGTAGTCTGGCTCCACTTGGTGGATGAAAAGGTATATGTGTAGAAAGTTCTTTTTGCCTTTTCATCCACCAATCACAATTGACATGTTTGTCATTTCTAGGGCCAGTTCTTGAGTCTTCATAACAAACATACACAGTGGATACATAAGCTGTTTTCTTCCTAGTATCCACATTGGTGTGTTTTTAACAATGTGTAAATGTTAATGGATACTATCTGCATTAGTTCACTATAGTATATATTTCATTACTTTGTGCAACAAATCGTGAACAGCTGCCTGATGGAGAGCTCAGGGAGAAAATAGAGAAGCTTGCAGCCTCACTGAAATTCCCTCTTAAGAAACTCTTTGTAGTTGATGGATCTACAAGGTCAAGCCATAGCAATGTGAGCAGCTCTTTATTATTTTTGAGAAGTTTGAACCTTTGACGCTCTTTCTATCATGTTCATAGATTAAATTTTATTTCACTACATTACTGAGTGTCAATAGTGCTGTTTCTGACTTATTACTGCTATAACCGTGATTGCGGATAAAAAAGTTGTGATGATTTAAATAATCATTACAACCTGAGTTGCTTCTCATCCGGTGTGTTAGAGTTAAAGCAGTAGTTAAAGTTCAACCTATTATAGATCTGTACTATTGTGAAACGGACTTATATTTTGAAACACAGACATCCTGGATTCCCATGTATTAGTCCTTAACACGGGAAATTGTATATATTATATGTTCTGTTATCCCTAGCATTGAGCCATATGTTGTTTATGTCTTGCAACAGTAATAGATTAAAGGCTATCTTGATTATAGTAATAAGCCTTGTATTTGTTTCCACGAAGAAAATTTTTTTATGGGAAGTGCTGTGATGCTCTCATGTGCACCAGCCGTACATTGCAAATAGTTGGATGTTCCTGTCTGAAAAACACAACTACTAACTTGTACAGTGAGAAAAGCCATATAGAGCTGCCCAGTAATTGTCCTTTTCTAGTGCATCAGCTCGGTGTATTTGTCCATGCTATGCTTTACTTGAAAGTATTGCTATGTTTTTACTTCAGAAGCAAATCATATAGGAGGAAAGTTGAATAGGTCTGCTCAAGAGATGTAATTGGTGTCGTCAAGCCTCTGCATAAGATTCTAGCAGTATTGGTTTTACTGGCATATGATTGCTAGGTTTCATCCAAGTATGCCTTATATGAAGATGTAATTTGCTTGATTATATTGCAAAGACCCCGGTCAGTGCCTTTTGCTGCAATAATGTTTAATTCTGTTTCCTTAATATCCATGGTTACAATGATTTCATATCTTTGGAAGTAGTTTTGTGTTTGACTTCTCAGCATGCTGTTCAAGCAATCTGATAATTCAATAGATGAACCACCATGAGATGCTGATTTGTTTCCCATGGTCTGCTTTGTTGGAAAACAACACTTTGCGGGTTCTGGATTTTAGCAAACCTATGTGTAGTGATATTTTTATCTTCTTCTAGTGCTGTAGAAAGACTTCGTTTCTGCAGCTGACAATATAACTCCCTTTTAAGGTGGTTGGTTGGCTTATTTCTCCATTAAAGAGGGGGCAGATATGAACATGTCAATTCAGTCATTTAGTTAAAGATAATGTACAGACATGATGTATAACTAATAGCAAGAGACCATCACATCATGCAAAAAGAAAGTATCACATGAAATATTGATGTGGAATACAGCTTCTACTTGTTATTATTGCTGATGGCACACTAGCAGTTTCTTTTCAACAGTAACTTCTCAACGGTAACTTCTAGGTTTACAGTGCTCTTTGGATGTGGTGTATTTCATCTTTTAATTTTTCTCATTTATTCATGATATCCCTCTCTGTGCTGCACTGCTTTTTTTTAAAACAATTCAAAATGGATAACAGAAACAGAAGTGGTTATAGCAACTTTAATTTCATCACTTATTTTTATTTATTGCCACATTCCACGAGTGGTTTTTTAGTGCTACATATTTTGTTTCTCTGTCTCTTACATCTCTGTTACTTGTGTATTCTCTGATTTGCATGTTTTTTCTACTCAACAGGCATATATGTATGGATTTTTCAACAACAAACGGATTGTTCTTTATGACACTTTGATTCAACAGGTTTGCTTCAAATTGATGCTCCACATTAATATAATTACAAATTTGGTGCAATTTTACTGTTGAAATATCCTTTGGTTGACTAAGAAATGAACAAAAGACCATGTACACACAGCTTTTTTTTTTTAAAAAAAAGGAGTTTCACAGTTCCCATTGAGTGATGACAAGCTTCCTAATAAAAGATGTTAATGTGAGCCTACCTCTGTGTGTACAGTGACTTATGCCTCTTTTAGGGCTTCAGTTGTATAGTGACTTGCCTATTTCAGGGCTAAAGCTGTCTCCACAAGGTTATATGATGTCCTGAGATAAATGAACAGTTTTCCTTTAATATATGCTTCAATTTCTCATTTGATAAGGTAAGCCATTGACAGACTTTGTCTGAATTGCTTACTGCAACTGGAAAGTGTTCTCGCCTTTTATGATTTTAGGTCTGGAATACTTTGCTCAGATATCAAGTTACAATATTATTTAACCTGGGCTTCATTTCATACATCCTACCCATTGTTCACATGGTTTTTTAATTTTATTTGTACTAGCTTTTCCTTGTCAGAATTTATTGTTCAAACTAACCATCACATTGCTACATTATTTGTCAAAACTCGTAAGTGCTTCTCATTGTCCTTCTTGTTACATATAATTGTTGTATTCAAGAAGTTGAAACTTGCTCGAAAATTTGCAACATGTGTTGTCTTCTGAAGAGGTTGATTTTGAGAAGCTTCTACAGATAACTATTTGTTATTACGGAAAAAAAATCATTGTTTTCTTTTACTGCATGAAGGCTTAAAGGGAGACACTTGAGTGTCATGACCTTATTTCAGTATCACTGTTTTGGATGGAAGTATGCCTATCAACCTCTCAGTGCATGCCATGTTGATGGAAAATTGATTTATGGATGTGGCAATTCATTTTCTGGCCATGTGATTAATAGGAACTACTGTATTTGTAGGCTCTCTTTCCACCTTTCAGAGCATATGCTTTCCCCTAAATTCTCATTCAAATCCTGTCCTGTTTTCATGACCCAAGTAATTATCCATAGCTTTAATTGTATGATCTGTGTTCCCTGTTAGTTGGAAACCTTATCTTGTACTTCTATTGTGGAATGCTGCATTTAATTTAAGAGTTATTCTCTCTGCTATGAACAAGTGGTATGTTTTCAAAGCTGGCTATCTTGATAAACTTTTTTAACTTGGAGTTATATATTTCCACATTGTTGAGTCTGAGAATTGAAATACCAAACCATATCCTCTCTGGTACAGCGACATATCGTTCCAATTGTTTTGCTTACGTAAATGAAAACTGTTACAGTGCACAAATGAGGAGGAGGTAGTTGCAGTTATCGCTCATGAACTTGGACATTGGAAACTCAATCACACTATGTATTCTTTCATTGCTGTCCAGGTATTCTTTCAGAAATTTTATTCTTTTCATTATTGTTGCCACTTCTTTTTTTTGTGTGGTTGTTTTGGTAGTTTCAGCAGACTACATATCTTGGCAGTTTTGGTAGTTTCAGTAGCTATGATTTGGGTTCAAGCGAACCTATAAAAGCTTTAAAACATTAAAATGTGTCGTCATTTTTTCCCTCTATCTTCAGCTGGTTTTTAGTTGAAACTATTTATGAATATGAAAGAAATTACATATAATTACCATGTATGAGTTTTCTCACGATTTCATGGTTTGAAAGCTTTTTGAAATTTAGGTTCAAGTGAATATGCTTAGGAAAATGAAATGATAGTCAGGAATATTCTTCAAGTGGTCACTTGATGAATGGGTAATACAACCAAGGCTCATTGTCTAATAGCTTACTTGTTATTGGTTTAAGAGGGTGTCACGGAAGCACCATAAATGTTGTTTCTTTTCATTAATACTTTTGAGATAAGTTAGACTTGCTATAATATTGGTAACACGAATATCATGATACTTAGTCTGTTTAGCAAATAAAATACAAAAAAAAAATTGATATTTCCCTGGTGCCTTTTGAGTTTTTTAATGTTATTTGTATTTAAGTACAAATTGAAAGGCGGCCTGTATGCAAAAAGCATAATTTCTCCGTCGAAGAGATACTAAGCTATAATTCCTTGATCAGCCACATCTGTTATGTTCCACTTTGGTTGACGTAAGACATGGAATTGAATAAGTTTTCTGATGGTTTTGATTCTTAATATTCTTTATGCCTATTGTTCTGCAAGTTGTTATTTTGGATATAAATTCTCTGGCCAGTTAACATATAATCTATTTCCTAAAAATAATTTTAAATTATTCAACACGCTGATATGTTTTTGCATCTCCTTTAAAGATTTACTCTTGTTTTCTATGCTCTAATTCTCTGTGCTTCTTAGTTCCAAATGATTCTTGAATAACATCTTTCAAAAAACATCATCTAACTTTCTTGCTTACCAACATTCTTATTCTTGTCTTTTCTTAAAAAAAGTGTTAACTTGTCTTGTAGTGGAAGTTATGGTCAAAACAATATTTAGTCATGAAAATTTTGGGTTCTTACAGTTGATATATAGATTGTAATAGCCCATATATGTATGATGCTTCCCACAGGAAATTGCAACCACACCATATACATATGGGTAGTTCATATTTAGAAATCTCACTTTCTTTCTAATTTCAGCTTATATTAAACATTTGATCAGCATTTTCTTTAATACATGTAACTGTTCTACTATCTCTTTGTTTTTTCACTTGTGGCTCCAAATGCTTTTCTTTTTCTTGGAAGGCTCAAAAAGAACCTACAGAAATTGAGTCACCTTTTCCAGACTAACAGAAAAGCCATATAACTTTCTAAGTGTGCTTAGCAGATTCTCACATTTTTGCAATTTGGAGGTTACACACTAGTGAGGAATTCAAAGGATCTCTTTGAAAGTTTCGGCTTTGATACTCAACCTATACTTATTGGTCTCATCATATTTCAGGTGCATTTCTTTTGCATTTTTCCTCTTCTGCACTGCTGGAGTATTTTTAAATTGTCTACAGTAGCTTCTTAATTTAGTTTACAAGCCAGCTGGAATATTTCTCTTCTTGGTGAATGTTTAATATGACTTTTTGTAGCATTGCATGTTTTTCCCATTTTTTTAAAGAGGAACAAGTCTCATTGATGTACTCAGTCTTACCTTTGAAAGCAAATGGACTTTCTATTACTCAAACCCTGGCACTGTCAGTCAACATAGAGGAGCATAATCAGTTGTCACAGAAGAAGACATGTAAAAAGAAAGATGTGTTTTATGAACATGGGATTATCAGAGGTTTAAGACAAAAGACCTGAACTGCCATATGTTTTGCTGGTGAACTTCCATGATGCAATGTCTTTTGGACCATTTACATTATGGCTTATGTAGATTTCATTCTCATATTAGTTGTTAACAAAGTCAGTTTTGTAGTTCCTTATATAGCTATCTTATCTGTTTTCTCATCACCGTTGAACTATATAGCAAACATCTTTTGATTAATGGCCATGAATATGTATAATTGTGTTGGACTAATTTGTGAAATTTTGTTACCAGCATACTGTTATACCCCTCCAGCACCTTGTGAACTTTGGTCTAAATCTTGTGAGCCGAACATTTGAATTTCAGGTACTTTGGATTTTAATGGTTTCATATACCCTAGTCTGACTTGGCTATTTGGCTACTTTTTTACGTATGTCATGATGTGACCATATACCGATATACTGTAAGCTCTATAATCGATTTGTTTTGTAGGCTGATGCATTTGCCAAGAAACTGGGTTATGCCAAGGCACTTCGTGCGGGCCTCATAAAATTGCAGGTAAGTTGCAAGCACTTTTTTTCATTTTCAGTTGCTCTTCATGTTGGTTAAATTAGAGGAGATTGCTTACCTGATATGTTGCGTTCCATTGCTTTGTTAAATTACTTTATCCCCACCACTAGTGTTTATCTGTCCATATATTGAAATATTCACAAGAATTGATGCATTTCAACTTTCGCATTTAAGAGAGTCTCAAGGTTTAATTTAATGTTTTGAACTCACAAGTGAACCTCATGTTGGAAGGAAAACAATCAATTTGCAAGTGTTTCTCTCTTTTTTTTTGGTTTAATTTCTGTCCGGCACGTCATGAGATTTATATGAAGCGCTTCAAAAAGAGAGTCAAAACCTGTTGCTGCCTTTTTCTGCTGGAGAGCTGAATACGATTTTCTAAGCGAGCACTGAAGTTGAGTTTTTGGTTTAATTTTCCTGGCATGTCATGAGATTTATACAAAACACTCTGAAAAGACCGTCAAACTATAGCATGAATAGGTTGATGAAATTAGTGATTGCATTTACTTGGGAAAATGTAGTTCAAGATCAATGGCTTGGATCACTGTTTTTAGATGCTTTAAATAGGTGTTACTCTGGTTAACATATTAGTGCTTCTGTTATGACTCATAAATCAGAGTTCAAAGAAAATCCCTGTAACGGCACGGTATCAGTAGCATTCTTTATTAATATCAATGATGAAAAAATTGTGGAACGATTGGCATCACAACTACTAGATATTTTTCTGCCATTTTCTTCCATGCTCATGGATATTGTTATGGACATTCAACAGTAGTTGTTTTCTCTTTTCAGGAGGAGAACCTCTCTGCCATGAACACAGATCCATGGTACTCGGCTTACCACTACTCCCATCCTCCGCTAGTTGAAAGGCTCGCAGCTATTGAAGAACCTGACAGTAAGAAAGAGGACTAACTAACATCACCAACCCTTACCTTCCTCGGCATTAGACTCTTACCATCATACACAGTGGGACATAGTCATCTCCCCCAGTAGGTTTTGGTTCAAAACAAGTCTTCTGTTTTATTCTGAGACAGTGCACCTTTGAATAGAATTTTGCAGACAAAGCTGAGATCTCGAGTGTGCGCGTGGTATTTATTTGTGTTCTCATTCAGATTTATCTTTTTCTTTATTTTTGTGTTCCCTACTCGATCTCACTCACAGTGTGTGTGTTATATGTAACCCCTACACTTTGTTTTTAGATTCCATTAGGCAAAAGTGCGTCGGAAAAGTATTTAAGTGAAGAAAAGAAAGGGTAAAATAAAAAAGAAAAAAAAATTAAATGAAGATAATATTTTGAGGCCATATTATTATTTGGGGACCGAATGAGCCGCTGATATTGCGGGCCCCCACTCGCTCAATGTTTACGGGCCACTCGTCTTCTCCGAAAGCCACCACACCTGCTTGAAGTTACAATGACGGCTGGTCGACCGTCTTCCCCCTCGCCACCGAGCGCTCAGAATGGCCTCCTCCCTCCGCCTCTCTCCCGTTCTCCACCTCCACACCTCCTGGCAGCCGCGGCGCCGGCCTCCTCGGGGCTTCCGCGACATCCGGTGCGACGGGAGGAGCCCCAGCGACGGTGGCTCCAGATCGGAGAACGCGGTGCTCAGGCTGGCCTGGTACGGCTCCGAGCTCCTCGGTATCGCCGCCTCCTTGTTCCGTCCCTCCCCCTCGGCGGCCCCATCGGAGGAGTTGCGGGCCGATGGATTGGGGTTCGCGGCTGGCCAGGCGGAGGTGGCGGAAGCGATTAAAGAGGACTTCGACCGTTCCTACTTCGTCACAGGTTCGAGAACCTTCCACTCCCAAGATTTCCGTTTAAGATCGTTCTACCCTTCTTTGGCCGATGAGAAGGGGCGGATTCTGAATGAATATGATAACCATGAAGTGTGAAACGGACATTGGAGAACTTTTTCACACATCAAAATACACATTCGCTATAAGGACTGGTTTCCATGGATCAAGTGTTGGATTAAACGTAACCCAGAGTCAAAAAAAGGGAAAGGATCATATGCGACGGCCAACCGAAGGAACGAAGGATGTAACCTCATGTGGTTGCCATGACAGATTTGTGATTCCCAAACATGGTATGTAGATGCAGACAAGGCTGAGAGTTTGTGTTTGTATGTTATGATACAAACACTGGTCTTGTACAATTTTGGTGTTGGTATGCGACTGTTTCTTTGATAATTCCAGGTCAACCAATTCTTTGATGGATATAGCCCTTATTTTATAGCTTGACATCCCAGTATTTTTGTAGTTATGCGGATTACACATAATTCAATGGAAATCTAGAGATATAGGATCTTGGAGCAAATCGTAAAAAGTGTCACCTGGCTAGATATAAGTTCATACTTTGGGAAGCTGGTACTAACTGAATTTGCAATCCTTGCAAATGATGATGTTTAATCACTTATGAATGTATGTGATGTTCATCCCCCTTTTGTGTTCTGAGGTGTTGGCTTTGCTATAAGCTGAAAGAGCAAATGGGTCCTGGCTATTGTACGTAACAAAATGTTAAGACAAGACAGAATAGGTAAAAAGTTCAGCGTGCCTAAAAGCTATTATATCTGTTGCTGTTCTAAACTTCTTTCCTGCATAATATATTCCAAATGATTCGGTTCATCTATATCTACTCTTTTGTTTGCATCTGACATTTACTTTTACTGTCCAGGGAACTTGACACTTGAAGCCTATGAAGATGACTGTGAATTTGCTGATCCGGCAGGTTCCTTCAGAGGCCTTCGACGTTTTAAACGAAATTGTACAAATTTTGGATCACTGCTTGAAAAATCTAGCATGAAACTCACAAAGTGGGAGGACTTTGAGGTGAAAACCCTGAAATCCTTTCAAATATATCATAACCATCTCTACTTTCTGTTATAGACATTGAGGGGGAAATGGTCTCTAGTAAAATATAGTCTACCTGCAAACCTTCATAGATGTAACCCATCAAATATCATCCTCATTCTGACTTATTACAGTTGTACAACAACAAAAATTATTACAGCCAAAATGGTTGGTTGCAGGATAAGTCAATTGGACACTGGCGTTTCAGTTGCATCATGTCATTTCCTTGGAGGCCAATTCTTTCTGGTATATAAGAAACCATCTTCCAAGAATAAAACATATCCCTTTTATACTGTTGATTGTTAATCTTGTTGGTGTTTCTTGGTTACTTCCATCCCTGACAGGTGAAGTTCATGTTCTATATAGTAGGATAATTCAATTACTCTATTCTGACTTTCTGATATGTTTGTTCTTGCTTTTTGATATGCCTTTTCTCTTTCCACAGCTACTGGCTATACAGAATACTATTTCGATGCTCAATCAGGGAGAGTTTGCAGGCAATGAATTTATTCTATGGTTATAATCTTGAAATGATCTCATCCTTCATGATTTAAGTCATTCATGTTGTTCTATGTAGGCATGTGGAGCATTGGAATGTTCCTAAAATGGCACTTTTCAAGCAAATATTCAGACCAAGCCGTTGGGTATGGGAGAAACGCTAAAAGCCCTCAGTGTGAATCTCGACAATTTAAGGATTTACATAAGGTTTTTGGTTGACCCTGATTTGTTCACCAATCAACTTGGAGTATCCTTGCTGATACTGTCTGTTAGTTTACCTCGCTCATTTAGCAGTTTAAGCTATCAACCAAGTGATGTACATAATGCATGACAACATAGATCCACTAAATATATGAGGATATTTTGTATGTCTCATACATTTAATGACCTTGTTGCCTGTATGTGATGACAGTCTTTGGAAATGAATACATTTCATGAAAACAAAACACCAAGGTAAACATTCACATTTGCAATAAGTTATATGTCCAAATGAAGGTATTACATCTTATTGGTTTTAAACATGCATCCTGGTGTAGTTATCTAAATGTATCCTATTTATGAAGCATACACTGACAAATTTTTAAATAAATACAGATGTTATTTTTGTGTCCTGATGTAATCCAAGATATTTATGCCATTTGACTGACATTGTAAAATGTGCTTGATTGTTTTCATAGTAACACAATCTGAGTTATGTGTTATGTACACATTGTACATCAGCAGCATTCTTTACTGATGGTAAGCATTTAGAAGTGTCATCCATGCATAATGTTGAATGCTGTCATGAATTTTCAGCCTTCTGTTATGATATTACTGCTTCAAGTTGCTCTATGCTGATTGCGGTTATTTGGACCAGGGAATTCTTTGTGCGTAAAAGTTTCAAACATGTATTAATGGCTTCTTTACTTGATTATCAATCAAAAAGTCAGTATCCATCTATATGAGTTGTGTGTATGTTAGCCTACAATTGTGTCAGGTTTTCAGCTAAGTTTGGAGATGTTTCTGTAGCTTGATGTAAAATGTGTCACAAAATATTTGAGCCAGCCATGACATGTTGCCATCAATGATCAAAGTGTTACTCTTCTAATCCAAAACAGCATCCGTAGACTGGTCATCTTGAATACAGAAATCAGATATGATCATGTCTGTAATGCTATACTATACTGTTTTGCAATTGAAGTTGCTTCTGTGTTGATTGAGAAGATGCAAATCTATAGCCTTGCTCACCATTTGCCTGAATTCAGAAGTGTGATCAGCTCAGAATTTCTCTCATTGATGGTTGATATTTTGTTCCCAATCACAAAGGATGCATGATAACTTTCTCGCGATCACCTTATATCTTTGTTCATGTAGAAAATTGGGACCTCTAGGAAACTGCATTTACTCATAAACAAGAAGTTGTATATGTACCAAAAAAGGTTGAAAAGAAATCTTCATACAAAGAAACTTAGCCAATGTTGATTCTAAACCTGGATGAAAGGTAAAGTGTTGTATTAGGCCATTGTTAACTAGCATAAAAGTTTGTTAGATCTTATGAATATGGATTTTAACTGATTTCAAGTTGGAATATTATGGCTTTGGGCTTCGTAGTAGTCGTTATTGTTACACCCAGGTAGATACTTGGCACATCTCTCAACTAAGTAGGGACATTATTGCTTTATAGTTGTTGATATACAAAGGAAGAGACTTCGCTATCACCTCTCTTAACTGTGATACGGAAACACTTCGATCTTGGTGTTGTCGCTGCTAATATACCGAGTGATAATCTTCTTCTTCCTCCTGCTTTATGCTATTTAAAGGGGATTTCATTGGAACAGATCCAATACTAGAAATCTGTACTACCTTTTGAGGGATTCCAAACACTACTTGATCTGGTGGGGAACAGAGCAAGCCAGCTAGATTTCATGTCTCTTTCTAAGATTCTCCACATCTTTGACTGAAATAACAAGTTAGCAGTACTAACTGAGTCTATGTTGACCCCTAAAACAGGAAATTCCAGGGCTTGGAGCATGATGATGCATCACTATTTCTTTCTTCTCTTTTTTTTACTGCTGTTATTTAATTTTAGTCAATGTCTTTATCTCCTTTGGATTTGTTGCTTGACAGCAACATTAAATGGATTCCCATGATTAGTTTGTCACTTATCAAGGATTTCAAGTACAGCAAAAGTTGCATCTGATGCACTTACCGTCAACCATGAGCTCCATGAAGAACAATTCTGAGGATGAAGGAGCTCCAATGGAGGAGCATCAAACACAGAAGGCTGAGGTAAATCCATAGATTCTGATGCCTGTGAAATTCTTTCTTTCTCTTAGAAAGTGGTATTCTTTAGATAAACTAAGTGGGCTTCAACTTTTTTCCAGAAAGTGAGATGAGATTAAAGAACTGCGAGTTCCAATCCTTAAACTGATGTTTACTTAGCTGGGGCTGGGAAAAGACATTTTTCTGAAATATTAGAACTTGTTGAGCAAGTTCTTTTATTCATATCTTAGAGAAATCAGAGTTCCTCACTTGGTAGATACTATCATATTTAAGTTTCTGCTAGTTTCTATCTTGCACGGATCACCTGGTAAGGCCTAAACTAATATTCTGGAAATATGAGACCCAAACAGTCTCATGGTTAGATCTGTTTCCAAACGTACTTTTACTTAGAATTGCTGTCACTTTTGTGTGTTCTGCAATGCATTAAACATCTACTTGGCGGTTGATATCTTGATGACGATGCCAATATGATGAAGTTGCAAACATTGGTGCTAGCTTATATATTTCAATTACTTGGTATATATTGCATTCGTTATGGTATCCCTCAAATGAAAAAAGAAAATTCTGGCCCATAAATATTTATACTTATAACTTACTAACCAAAAATCTATTAGACAATGTAAATCGATTAAGAATTCTTTGTCAATGTCTTATAGTATTATCAGCACCAATTATGCCATGTTCATCAATATAGTAGACCTCAACAAGATGAAATCATATGAACTTTTCGTCAACTATTGCAAAATCATCAGTTTCCTTATTACAGAAGTGAGAATTATATTAATAATTCTTCAGTCTAGTGTTGCATTTACTAAGTTGTTGTCTTTGTAGTTTAGTTTGCAGGTGGAGAAGCATTTAGAGACAAAACAGGATGCCGATGCCTATGTTCAATACATGGATATGCTGTTGAAGAGGGCACTTGAAATGGCCAGTACTCGAAGCAAGTGTATAATTTAACATTTGTGAACATGAGATTTATATCAAGTGAAATGTTTGTGACTGGAGACAGATTCAAGTAAGCATTGGCTAGTTTGACTGCCAAAAACTTGGTACTCTGAATTATGACCTTGTAGTATTGACAAGAAGAAAGCTTTCTGTTTTGCATGACTTGGAAACTCTCTTTGGTTGATGAAAAGATTTTAAGGAAACATCTCAGAGCAAATAAATCTAGGTTTTCAGAGAATGTGGATGTTTGATATGTATATCCTACTACTAATTGAATGCAAAGGCAAAAAGATAATAGTATACATGTGGTTCCAGTTTGATAAATAATGAGTGATGCAGAATATGTTTACATTCTGATGCCTGAAATAAGCTCAACTCAAAGAAAAGGCAATCTACAAGGAATCGAGGCCTGGGATCGGTAGGTCTCTCTACTGATGAGCCGACTACAATAGCTACATTGGATACCTTGTCAAGATCTGGGTCATATCAACTATGATTTCAACATATGTTACTGAATGATCATGCTTGGCTTACATTAGTGTGTTCACTAGGCTCTAACTTGTCATGAACATCCCTGGTACTGCACCTTACACAGCAGCCTTGTGGAATGACAGAACCAGTTGCTGCAATGCTGGTGTTGTTGGTTGAAAAGGTTGGTTATATAAATGAAATTTTCTAGCAGTGTTTCCCTAAGGTTTAATAAGCATTAAATTACAGTTGCTGCAATGCTGGTGGTGTTTTCTCTAGGATCGACACTGAACCAAGTAGCCAATCTGTCAAAAGGCAGCATGGAGGTCACCCTTCAATGAAGATCCAAGAAGATGAAGTTAGCCAACTTGAGTTGCTGAAGGATTCGTATCTCCCTCAGGTAAGCCAACAATGAGACACAGCACATCTTTCTTCTGATCTCTTGTTTGTACCTTCACATGTGACTAACTTGGATCCTTTCTGACCTACTCACCACTAGCTTATGCAGATGTTTCAGATGCTTTTTGGTAGGACTTGTTCATCTCTTCTTCCTGACCAAGTCTCCATGAAATGTATGTTACCTGCAAATCACCTAGACTAATTCAAGCTTTGTGAGATTAACTGTACCCGATGGATCAATGCCTTCTTCTCAAAAACAAATCATTGGATAGATAATGCACAGAAAACATAATCTGGTTGCAATCTATTACATGGTGGCATTTCACAAGACCCATAAATATACATTTGCTGTTCTTTGTTCTCTGAACAGTGGAAATTACACTTTCTTGAAACCAAGAGACAGAGGAAGTTAACCGTAGGAAGATGACTCTCTTTCTTTCTTTTATGGTTGTCATTTCTTTCTTTGACTGCATGGATCAAATATAATTGATTTCTCATTCTTTGTGGAGAGTTCATCCCTGATGAAAATGGAGAAACTGGTTCCTTTCTTCCTTGCTCTTCTACAATCCTGATCACTTATCCTGCTCCTAACACAGAACAAAGGAAGAAGGTAACAAGAAACTCCAAATGATCTTTCTTAAGAATACAATTGAAGATTAATAGCAGGTGTTGTAAACATGTAAGCATCTTACATTTGATTTTTTGCAGTGAAGAATTGCATCATGGATTGATATATCAGCATAGCTGTTGCAACATTCTCTGCTCGAGCAGGAATCACTCGTCCTCCGAGAACTCCCAGCCAAGTTCGTGCAGCTCTTCTCTGATCTTGATGAAGTCAATCTCAAGGCTTTTACCTTCTCACATAAGTGCATCAGAAAGCACATGTATCTCCATATAACCTTCTTCAGACATCCAGCACAGTGCCTCAACTTTGCATTCCTTGAAGCGAGACTTCTGGATGAGGGTGTGTAGTGTGCTGATTGGAAGAGAGTCGAAGAGATCAAGGATGAGGATATACTCCGGCAGTGGTTGGGCAGGGAAAGAAGCGATCTTGATGAACTCAGCGACTCAGATTTGTCGAGAACAGGCAACTGAAGAAGACCCTTGGAGAAGAGGATGTGATCTGAAGACTGTGATCTTGGCAGATCAAAACCAAAGCCATTGGCATCGATTGCCCAACGCAGGGAGATGCATTCAGGGTCAACTTCAATGAAGGAGCTGCCGTCTTGGGTGTCGAAGGAGCGGTGGCTGTCACCAAGGGAGTCAAGTGAGGATTTGATGCACATCAACCACCTGTAAGAGTTGCAGCTCTCACTCAAGACCTGTTCTGAGTTCTCCATGGAAGCTGCAAGAGTGGGGATGATGTAGAAGTGGAGGGGTGAAGATATAGAGCAACTTGAGGAATCAAAACAAGGAAGGCACATCAAATAAGTTGTTGATTGATGAGGTGACATTTGATGCCTCCATGATGAAGCCATGGAAGCAATATTTCCTGGTAATATTCCTTTTCCATGACAGGATAAGAATATTTTCTCCCCATACTATTAAAGAATAGAAAGAGAGAGAGAGAGAGAGAGAGAGAGAGAGAGAGAGAGAGAGA